GCTTACCTGCTGCCTGCTTCAGGCTTCCCGCTAATCAAATGTTCGCGGGAAGCAGGGGAGGGGGGCAGAGTTGGGGCGGGGACTTTGGGGAAGGGGTGGAGTTGGGGCAGGGGCATGGGCGGGGCCCCGTGGAGTGTCCTCTTTTTGGACACTCAAAATATGGTAACCCTATTACTTCTAATTTTCTTGGCGATCGTGGCTGACTTTTGAAAATAGCTTTTTGAATAAAGAGAAGAGAAAATTACTCGTCAGACCCAATGGATAGTATCAATTAACTCCAATCAGCCGCACAGACACACTGCAGATTACAACGGCAAGCTCTGTAAAGCCCTCCTCTGCATTCCTCTCCTACATTCTTCCTTGTCCTGGTCTATACTAGGCTTGCTTCAGTTCTTCCTCTTATCTCCACTATCGCTCAGCTTTTCTCTGACCCATTGTCAGCTTCTTCTTTGATAGCTCCTCCTATTCTCCTCCTTTCTGCATATTCCTTTGATCTTGACCTTCATCTCCTTCCCTCCCAGTTCATTTCTATGCTTCTTTCCTCTTATTTGCCTCTGCTATTTTGCCAACACAATGAATTTCTTTGGTCCCATCAGGGCAGAGTGGCTGCCTCTCTTCTGCTCTACATCTGTGCTCCACAGAGCCTCCCTTCTCCTCAGCGTATGTCCTGTGAATGGCAGAAGCAGCTGGCAGTTTTCAGTTCACAGGGCCTAAAAATGTGCAGTGACACTGAGAGGAAAATTTAAAAGCATGCCCTGAAGTAACTTAGAACATGCCCCCTGAATATTAACAAGCCCCCTGAAGCTCCTGGTGATGCTGTCTCAGAGCAGCACTGCAGCCTCTGTCCCGCGCAGCAACTGTAGCCAAAGACACAAATCCAACACATTTTTTTAGGTCTCGGTTCCCAAAGTTGTTTTTTGTTTTAAACCCGGCTTGTGCCGAGGAAGCTAAATGAGGGTCAGTGCAGTTTAAACGACGTGGACTCATCACATGTTTTAATTTTTGCTGAGTTTGATGGTCACGGCAAATCAGCTGCAGCTGAATTTTGGATGAAACGCTTTGGGCGTTTTATTCAAAAACTCCAAAGCAACAGAAGTGCTGCAAAGGAAGAGAATACATTTGCCAAGGGTGTTTTGGCATTTTTTTAAATCTGCTTGCTAAGAACAGTTTTGTCCCAATGACATTTCTGCAAATAATATATTTCCACAGGATCAGGTTCTCCCCAGTTACACTGACATTTCTTCAGGAGCAATTCTGTTGGAAAGTGTCAGCTTTTTAGGAATGTTTCTTTGTGTGTCTCATATTTTGTCATGCAGAAGCTCATTGTTATGAAGGGAAAACTAACTTGCCTCTCACAAATGTGCCCATTCCAAAGTCAGTGGAATTGTGCTGTCCCAAAGCACACATCTCTTTCAAAAGAATGAACAGGTGGCGGATGAGGCAGGGCCTATCTATTACTGTGTATGATTGTCATTAGGCAGCTGAAAGTGGGGAGGTTGTTAATTGCGGCTTCAAGTTGCTGGGAAAAGTTAATATTCCCTGGTTGGGACCCTGCTTCCAATGATAAAATCAGATGTGGTATTAAATGTTGATTTTTACACAATGACAAAAAATAAAGAGAGAATTTAGGCAATATATAAAGAACAGTTTCAAGAGGCAGCATAGAAACCTGGAGTAGGAGTCAGGAGACCTGCATTCTTCTGCTCCCAGTTCTGCCATTAGCCTGCTTTGTGATTCCTAGGGGAAGTCACTTCACCTGTTCCCCTTCCCAGTCTATTTAGCCCATAAGCTCTTTGGGGTGGAACTGTCTTTCACTAGATGTCTGCACAGTCTCTAACTCAAGGAGGCCACTACCTTGATTAGGGGCTCCAGGTGCTACTGTAATAATAACAATAAATAAGTTAGGAGTAATACTGTACACCAGGTAATACTGTACTACCAATAATAAATAAGTCGGAGTTCAATGCTAAGCAGCTGTTTTTGCTCATCTGTGAACTAAGTAAAAATCCTTCCCTTGATGCCCACGAAGGACATGATGGTCTATTTACATTCAGGATGTTAAAAGAAAAGAAGCACATGACATACCCGTAGCTTGGAATTCAGCATACCCATCTCAAGATCATTTTCACAGTTTTTGGCCTTAGATTTGCAGAGTTTTATGAGGCACATTTTTATTCTCATTATGAGATAATAAAATGATTTAGGGCTTGGCACTAGATTAAAAGGAGCAGGCAGAGTCCTTCCTTCATCAAAGTATGATAACCAGAGCTTGGCACGAGCAAATTTCCACTCCACATCTGCATCCTCCTGCGGTGGAGAAGGGAAAATGAATTGCAGAATTAGTGTTTTGAACGGAATTGAGAAGTATTATTGCACTGGCACTCAGACAGATGCACAAAGGTGACTTAGCTGGAAAGGGTATGAACCTTGTCACTGAAGGCCACTCAACAGGAGTGTTTCTGATACAAAAGTCTTGCAGATTTATGACTCCCAAATCCGTTTAACCTCTGTATATTGAAATCTGGGTATTTACTTGTATGCGCCACCTTTTCCAGCTGCTTTCAGTTGGTGCACAGACAATATGCAAGATCATGTTCTGAACGTAGGACCGCCCTCTTTAATTACATATTTTTGGGGTGTACTACCTTTCATTTCAATGTGGGGAGTCAGGTGGGGCAGGTAAGGACTGAAGTGGTAGGAAAAGGAGTCCAGCAAGCAGTGGCGATACAGCCAAAAAACAAAACCAAACAAAAGAACCCTGAGTCCACTTTCAGAGCTGAGTGAATGATGATGTCAAGAAGCTGCAAAATCTCCTCTGGGCTGCTGGGCAACATACATGGGAGAAGTCAGGGTAGATCCAGTGCCCCAGGCAGATACCTTTTAGTGCAGTGGGGGAAGCTGGAAGGCACTGACATACCCCCAGTACCGCCATGTTGTGGCGGAAGGAGTGGCTGGGGGTGGGGACATTAATAATCAGTCCTCCGCCAGCTCCTTCCAGAAGTTGCTGCTTCTCGTGTGGAGGAAGGAGACAAGTGAGCCCAGTACCCAGATGGGCCTGTTCCTATCTGTCTGCTGGAGGCCCAGGAGGAATAAAGATTAAATAATTATCCTTTCCAACATGCTTCCTATGCTTTGTCTGCTAAGCCAGGTGCGGTTTCCAAACGTCACGAGTTCCTAGGCTTCTCTAGAGCAACCTTGCAGTGAGCACGATTTGAACAGAGCAGCTGGTCAAAGACCGCAGAGAGAATGTCAGTCTTGCAGCCGGCTGAATTGACTGTCACATTCCTTCTAGCTTAGGGTTACCATATTTAAGGTTTTAAAAAAGAGGACACTCCACGGGGGCCTGGCCCCGCCCCTTCCCTGCCCTGGCAACGCCCCAACTCCACCCCTTCCTCAAAGTCCCCAGCCCAACTCCACCCCTTCCCTGACCCAACTCCACCCTCTCCCTTGAACGCCCCGCATTCCCCCTCCTCCCTCCCAGCCACGCGAAACAGCTGCCCGAGCGCTACCGGCTTCATGGTTTGCCGGGCAGCCCCCAGACCTCCAGACCCTGCGCCCCTGGCCGGGCACTTCCCCAGCGCAGCCAGAGCCTGGGAGGGGAAGCGCCCAGCTGTGGGCGCAGGGTCTGGGGGTCTGGGGGCTGCCCGGCAAACGGTGAAGCCGGTAGTGCTCGGGCAGCTCCACTCTTCAGCTGCACACAGCTGAGGTGTCGTGGGGGGAGCTGCAGGCGGATTCCCCCACAGCGACGGCTGCTGCTCCCCCCAGACACCTCAGATCTGTGCAGCTCAAGCGCCGAGCTGCCCGAGCACTACCGGCTTCACGGTTTGCCGGGCAGCCTCCAGACCCTGCGCCGCTGGCCGGGCACTTCCCCTCCCAGGCTCCAGCTGCACTGGGGAAGCGCCCAGCCGGGGGCGCAGTGGGTCTGGAGGTCTGGGGGCTGCTCGGCAAACCGTGAAGCCGGTAGCGCTTGGGCAGCTCGGCTCTTCAGCTACACAGAGCTGAGGTGTCTGGGGGGGGAGCAGCAGCCGCCGCCACCGCAGCGGGGAATCCGCCTGCAGCTCGCAGCCTGCTGGAGCTGCTCAGGTAAGCAGGGGACTGGGGCAGGGATGCCGGCATTTTCCCAGACATGTTCGGCTTTTTGGCAATTCCCCCCGGACGGGGATTTGAGGACCAAAAAGCCGGACATGTGCAGGAAAATCCGGATGTATGGTAACCCTATTCTAGCTTGGATAATGGACAAGTGACTAGAGGTGCCAATTAGGAATGGGACCACCTGTCCTTCTTTCCTTCTCCACCTGTCAAACATCCTGGGTTTGAACTTGAACTCCAAAGTTAATGAGTTCACAAGCCCCCTAAGAAGGGACTGCAAAAAAACCATAGGAGAATGGCAGATAGAGAGAGAGAACGAAACCTCGTGGGGAAAAAAGCAGGTGAAGAGCAGAGGAAAATGAGACTCTGATAGGAAGCACAGATGACCAACAAAGTGCAACAGCTTTTAAAGGCTTCTTCCCTATGGTGTCATTGCCACACACTGACACAGGGACTAGACCAGGAGTCGTTCTCAGGTTCGGCCGATCGCAGCTCCCACTGGCCGCGGTTCGCCGCTCCACACCAATGGGGGCTGCGAGAAGCCGTGGCCAGCACATCCCTCGGCCCGCGCCGCTTCCCACAGTCCCCATTGGCCTGGAGCAGTGAACCACGGCCAGTGGGAGCCGCAATCGGCCGAACCTGCAGAAGCGGCAGGTAAACAAACCGGCCCGGTCCGCCAGGGTGCTTACCCTGGCGAGCCGCGTGCCAAAGGTTGCCGACCCCTGGACTAGACCATGGGCAAGTCAGTAGTGGCTGGACTTCTTGGACAAGTTGCATCAGGTGGCTAGATTTGCTTTCAACCTCTAGCACATCACTGTACTTGAGGTTCAAATGGCACCCCCAAATTCTGTAGCAAGTGACCTGAAAAGGAGCTTGCCTTGGGCAAGCCCGGGGGGCTGTGCTAAGTAAAGAGCTGCTCTTTGCAGATTTTAAGAGTGACTATGACAAATGTGATGATACTGTAGTACAAAGGAACCCAAATCAGGGCTGCCCAAGGGGGGGGGGGGGAGGGAAGGGTGGTTTGCTCCAGGCCCCCCCAAATGATGGAGGGGCAGCTGGGGCAAATTTGAGTGAGTCGTGTAGCAACCTGTTGCACAGGGTGACAGAGTCACTCCGGTTTGACACTTGACAGCCAGACTACATGGCAGGCCGAGACCCCGGAGGTAGGAGTGAGGTCAGGGATAATGCTCCCATCGGCACAGGCAGAGGAGGGACTGGAAGCAATCCCTTAGCTGCACACAGGGCAGAGCCCCCTATCCCTGCAGGGAGGGCAGAGACCTCACAGGCCTGGGCCATCTCTGACGCTCCCCCTCCCCCCATTCTTAAACTCTCATCTCCAGGGTCATTTTTTGAAGGATGGGCGGGGTTCAGTTTTAGATTTTGCTCCCAGGCCCTCAAAATCTCCATGTGGCCCTGCCCCAAATCGTCATGTTTGTGTGGATTAGGAATTCCACCAGGTGGCAGAGAGAGTCTGAGATGTGAAGTACCCCCGGTCCTTTTATTTGCTGTGCTGAACATGGCCCTGTTTCTTCGGATGGCAAAGAAACACATACAAAAAATGTGTCTGATATTTGGGCCTCGCTGATAAATAGAGTTATCTAAGGATATATTTTCAATGCAAAGCACGGGGAAGTGGGTATGTAATTTCCATTCAAAATAAACTGTGTGTCAAGTTAATCACAGCAATATTTAACTCCTAGGTAACGGTTATCATCTGATTCACTAAAATATTCTGAACAGCAGCTTGGGCCACTTATCTCTTCTGATAATTGAAAACTATAAGAAAATACCAGCTGATTTCCTTGTTTGTCCTATTTGTATTCATCATCATTACATCTTGGTTCTCCATCAGTCAGCGCGTCACATAAGCAAGTTCACTTCTCAGTTAAGATGATTCACCATTATTAGATTGTCAAGGTGAGCCAAGACACCAAGAACATTTCTGAAGATAAATGTAAGGTCAGTGCAGTCTTTATTGATCCGAGTGGCATTTATGATTTTACTCAGTACCTGTATGGTCTGACCCTTATTTCAAGATTGTTTACTGGGTGACAAAAAACTGGGTTACAGCTGTTTTCATTGTGGTATATATAGAAGCCAGTAGCATCAATGGGAAAATAGGTTTGCCAGTAATCTGTACTCACTTCTGTACTATGGTAAAATGTAGAATGCAACTCGCTCATCAGGACACATCTCTGATGATGCCCCTGTGTTTGGCAGCCTGTCAGAAATGGGCATATTACAAAATGGAGGCCTTGGGCCAAATTCTGCCCTTGCTTATGAAGATGCAACTTCATTGACTTCAATGGAGCAGTGCTCCCTTTGCCCCATTTAGCCCCTATTGACTTACTCCTGAGGGAATTCTGTGCCAAAAAATTAATTATGGGCACAATATTTTAAAATTCTGGAAATTTTATTTGTCAATAAATAAATGTGGCTCCAGCATGGCAGTGGGGAGCATGGGCCACTGGCTGCATTGAGGTGGGAGATCACCCTGCAGCCCTCACCTCCCGCAGTACAGAGACTTGGCAGTGAGGTTACTCTGGACCCTGACACAGAGCAAGGGCTTGGCCTGCCCCAGAAATGCCCTGGGGCCCTGTCCCATTGCGCCAGGTACAGCTGGGGGTGGGCAGGTTCAGCTCAACAGGATCGAAGGGTGGAGGGGCTTAGTGTGTGGGGATCCAGGTGTGGGGTGAGAAGTTTCTGTGTGGGGCAATCTAGGTGCAGGAGGCTCCGTGGGAGATCTGGATGCACAGGGGCTCGTTGGGGTGTTCTGGGTGCAGGGGCAATGGGACTCTGTAGGGGATCCAGGTGAAGGTGGTTGCGGCTTGGGGAGTGGGGCTTGATGGGGTGGGGGTCCAGCTGGTTGGGGATCAGTGGGGTGGGGGTCTGGGTGTAGGGTGACCAGATGAGATGAAGAAAATATCAGGACACCGGCGGGAGGAGGGGGACAAAAAAAAAAGCACCGAGTGCTGCCGGCGGCACAAAATATCGGGAGAAATAGCTCAAAATCGGGATGGTGCCGATTTTATCGGGACGTCTGGTCACCCTACCTGGGTGTGAGGGGGTAGGGCTTGTCAGGGTGAGGGTTCGATGGGCCTGCTTAATGGGGGAGCCCCAGCTCCTGCTGAGGGGATGCTGCATGCTGGACTCCTGCTTCCCCCCAGGATTCCCATACCCTCTTTTCTTCTCCATTCCCCTCCCTTCACTCCCACATTCCCCTCCCCCTGCCCTATTCCACCCCCTTCCTTCCCCACTGCCTCTTCCCTCCACCCCCTCACCCCCCTTCCCTCATTTCCCCCACCTCTCCTTACCCAGCCCCACTGCAGGCACTCACTGTTGCACAGAATAGAAAACAGGAAGGCTCCCAGCACACAGAAGGGGAGCAGGACTGGCACTAGGACCCAGGAGGCAGCGTTCAGCTGCAGAGTCAGCAGCGCAGAGACACAGCCTTCTTCAGCTGGGCAGCTCTGCGCTTGCAGAAATGATGGGGGGCAGTGGCACCAGGGCCGGCGCTTCCATTTAGGCGACCTAGGCGGTTGCCTAGGACACCAGGATTTGGGGAGGCGGCATTTTGCCGCCCTTGGCAGCAATTCGGCAGCGGGGGCTCCTTCCGTGCTCCAGGTCTTCGGCGGCAATTCTGAGGCGGGTCCTTCACTCGCTCCGGGACCCGCCGCCAAAGTGCCCCGAAGACCGGGAGCGCGGAAGGACCCCCCCCGCCGCAGAATTGCCGACGACGACCGGGAGCGCGGAAGGACCCCCGCCTAGGGCACCAAAAACCCTGGCGCCGTTCCTGAGTGGCACATAACCCCATGTGTCGTCCCCCCCCCCATGCATCACCTCTGTTTGGAGGGGAGCAATCCCCCCCCCCCCCAAAAAAAAAATAACCTGTGCCCATGGTCATCCCCTGCACGGCTTCCCTGCAGTTTTCTGCAGGGAAACACAGGAAATCTGCGGGGGTGTTTTCTGTGGGTGCGCAGTCTTGCAGAATCCCCCCAGGAGTATTGACTGTACTTGAACCTTATAAAACAAAACTTAAACCTAATCACAATAGAACTAATTGGTTAACATTTTTATACTTTTGTGTCTAGCTGAGAGATAAGAGGCTGCTCAAGATGCTGGATTAGACATGAGAAGGCTGCCCCCACAAATTATGATTCTTAATCACTTTTTGATAACTATCCCATCTAGAGGGACTGTCCAGCAGCCAACAGGATAACTACTTCCTGTCCTCTACTGTCTCTCTTGCCAGTGATCTGTGAAGGACAAGGTTAAAAAGAAATTTTATTGTGGGTTCAGGCAGGAACAGGTTAGGTGTCTGCTGGAAGATGTAGTTCACTGGACTATCACTTGTTCCAGGCATTCCACCAACTATATTGACATTATGGGACATCCTATCACTGCAAAGATCTGGGAATTAAGGGCCTCCTGAACACCACGTTAGGGCCTGAGGAGGTGTTGTGAGAAGCCATGGTTATAGGTCAGACCTATGAGCTATCAAAGACATTTAACCAATATCTTACGCAATTTTTGTCACAGGAACGAAAATAACTTCTGTCACAGGTAGAAAGGGTAGGCACTTGTGCTGAGAAAATTGGTTGCTATTTGCACTAAGCTAAATATGCAAATATGAAAAGTAGAGCTGGTCAAATCCCACTTGTCAAATATGTTATTCAGTGAAAGTTGCTGATAGTCATTGAAGACTAGACGACACATCCCAGAAGAGGAGTCAAGCACTGTAAGGACCGCCGCTTAGGTTTACAGTTTTATTCAAGCTACCAACCCCTTGTGCTCAGCTGCGCACAAGTAGATGGCACTGTTCATCCTGCTTCCGCAGTGCCCAGTCCGATGTGCAAGGAGTGGCAGGGAATGGTGTAGCTGAACAGGTATAGGGAGGTGTAATCATTTCCATTTCCTAGCCAGCTCCCCCCTGCCTAAGCAAGGGGAAAACAGGGAGGGAATTGGGTCTCTGAATCACAGTGCCTCCTGGAGTGTCGCAGTTTATACACCATCCCTTTTTCCGGGCAGTGCCTAAAGGTACAATCTAGCCCTGGATAATTTATCTTTGTGACATTTGACGAGCTTTGTAGCCCATTAAGCATTATTTGATGGATAAATTATTGGATGAATGTCTGCTATATTCCTTGCTATGGAGACCCCTGTTACCCATTAGAGAAATGAAAAGGAAGAATATTCTACATCATCCCTATGATAAAACAAGGGGGAAAATATCTACCTCTGGTGCGCATTGCACCAGACCAAATACAGTTTGATGATCTCAGAATTCTATAAGGCAGCACTGATATAATTTGAATTATTCCCTTTTTACCAGCTATTACAAATACTGATTATGACTCTCCCACACTATTTCCAATCATATTCGGAAATACTCCATAAGTGGTACACTAAAACTAATTCTGGTGTTTGTACACAGAGAATGTTCAATGCTCATAAATTGGTACACACTTCCAGACCACAAGGTGCAGAGCAAACCCACCAGTTACTATCTCTGAACTTTCATTATACTCGTATTCTCAGCCAAATGCAAAACTCATATGGCCTAGTAATTCCTAGCCTACAAACAGCTGCTCTCTTTCCCCCGGCTATATAAGTACTTATATTAACAACGCCACGCAAATATTATATTCGAACAAAAAGCAAATGTAATATTCATGCATGATTTCATTTCTTCCCTTTTTCAATACGGAGTCAACTAAAAAATTACTCATGCTCCCTAATAAAGACTCCCTTCTGAAAGAGCCCCTGCTTGAACCTTGCTTAGATGCAAAATTATTCTTTTTAGCTAAACAGCTCTGTCCTAGACTTATACCCTGGGCGTTGTATGCGTTGTTTGCCTTATCTACCTGGGCTTGCACTATTAATGACTGTTCCCGACTCTATGGGACCTAATGTTCAAAAGTGTGGGTGCAAAACTACACATGCTTAGTTTAGGGGTGTATAAACAGTTATGCATGCATGCAAACCACGTTTGCACGGACACGTGTGCACACAAACCAGGGCTTCTATGTGTGCATTGAGGTATTTGTGTGCCTAAACTGAATAAATGAAAACAGCATGCACGCACTTTGGAAGAGCCTTTCCATGAAATGTTTAGCCTAGAGCTCGGACTTTGTTGTGCAGCACAGATAGCTTTACATGAGGGGTTTTTGGTTTGTTCTCTTTATTCGATAGTAGCAACCTTAGAAATATTGATGCTGGAGAGCATGTCTTCCTGCAATTAAGAAGCTGTAAGATGGCACTGCAAAAACGGTGGGAAGAGTTTCCTCCAAGTAAAATAGGAGGTTGAGGCCCTTTGAAAGTAAGTCTCATCTCAGAGGAAGAGAAACTAACTGAGAAGCTTGATCTTAAATGTTAAGGATCTCTTGGGGAATACGACTGTGCCTTCTGAATGCAGGGAAAGTTTCTTGGGTAGGCACTATGTAAGTGTTTGCTGACATTCGTCCTGATTGCAGCAGACATAAGACGCAGGGGTATATTTTCAGCTCTGGTCTTTTGCAGAGCTGGGTTCTGAGTTTAGATCAGAACAGCTAATTAATACAAATCCAACTGTAGGAATTTGACATTGAAGAAACTGGGACAAGAAAGAGGTGAATCATCCCTGACAACAGTGTCCAATATTAATAACTTCCCCTGCTTTATTTATATTAGCAGAAAGTTTTTTCTCCAAAGTATGTAGCAAATCCAACCTGCTAATATGAACAATACAGGGCACAGTTCACTGAATCCTGGATATACATTTCTGCAACTATTCATTCAGATTCTCTAATGAGTCAGCCTCTGCTCTTCGTAGCCCTTTCGTGTTTGCGTCCTACAAGCATTCTTGTAACAGAGGTTTACTTGCACAAATGTTCACGGAGAATGAATTTCAAAGCTGCCATGCCTGAGTTTGGGGAATCCATTTAATCTAATCTATTTTTGTGAATCTAACCTAGATAGTGAATGCTCACAAAGAACTGTTCATGCGTTTGAAAAAAATCAAGAACTACTTTCATATAATGAATAAATCTAAGGAAATTGTGATCTGCTCAGAGATATTCTACAAACAAAAGGAAGATAAATTTGTTGTATAAATGATTCACTGTGAATTATTTGCTTAGGTCTAATTCTGGGATAGAGACTTTTCAGTCACCATAGAATTTTACGATAAATTGCTTGTGTCACACTATAGGCTGGTCCACATTAACCCCCCACTTCGAACTAAGATACGCAACTTTAGCTACGTTATTCACGTAGCTGAAGTCGAACTATCTTAGTTCGAACTTACCTCGGTCCACACGCAGCAGGCAGGCTCCCCCGTCGACTCCGCGTACTCCTCTCGCGGAGCAGAAGTACCGGCGTCGACGGCGAGCACTTCCAGGATCGATCCGGGATCGATTTATCGCATCTAGACAAGATGCGATAAATCGATCCCAGAAGATCGATTGCTTACCGCCGGACCCGGAGGTAAGTATAGACGTACCCTATGACATCTTATATAATACATCCTGTAATGTCCTTGTTTTTATAACATATAACAGTAAATTAAAAGTATACATATATTCTGTAATCAAATCTTACCTCAATTTCCTGATAGGAGTTGTTGATCATGGCTATTAACATATTGAGCAGCACCACCACCATGGTAACATTATAAACTCCATAGAGTACATATCCAATATTCTCAATGAACTTATGATCATACTTCAGCACCACTGATATCACTTCAGACAAGCCAAATATTGACCAGAATAAGGTTTTAAAACTTTCTTCTACCCTAAAAACAAAACAAACAATTATTTCACATTGTCATCTCCAGATTGGCAAGACGAGACGTTACTAATAAAAACGGCACTTGGCCAGAGTAAATATGATGTCTCTGTGCAATCAGTGCAGGCAATGATCAATCACCCTGTGGACTGCCAAGTCATATTTCCTGAACTGATAACAATATGTGACATCCCAAACAAATCATAAAACAATACCACCTCTGTATCTGCCCCATCTGCTTTTTCCCAACCTCATTAACTATGAACTAGATTGTAACATGAACTCTGTATCCCTGGAGTAGGGTGACCAGATGTCCCGATTTTATAGGGACAGTCCTGAGTTTTGGGTCTTTTTCTTATATAGGGTTCTATTACCCCCACCCCCACCCTCTGTCCCGATTTTTCACATTTGCTGTCTGGTCACCTTACCCTGGAGAGGTAGTAGGAACCCCTACAAGGGCTAACTGGAACTTCAGACCTAGCTGCAGGGCTAAGTAGGGATGCTCATCTCATCCATGTATGTCCTCCCTGAAGCAGGTGGGCAGGGAACGGTTAGGGTGGGAATAGGGAGTGGCTGGACCGTGGCAGAGAATGGGCAGAGCCTTGGTTCCATCCCCCTACTGGCTGGACTTCTAGAGTTCAAAGAGAGAATCTGTGGAGAGGCATTGTGGGTGGAAGGGAATTTGGAGGCAAAGGGTCAAGAGAGTTTTTCCAGCCAGTGGTTTCCAGGGCGTGTTTGAAAGTGGAGGAGATGGAGCCGGAGGAAAGGGAGAGGTTAAAGAATAGGGAGAAGAAAGGAGATAAAACAGTGCCAGAGAGGGGAAGATCTGGGAAGGGTGGAGTCAAGGTGGTAGGTCAGGAGGAGGGAGATGTGTGACTCAGAGAAGGGTGAAGCATAAAATATGGAAGGGAATATGAATGGCTCAAAGAGGAAAGGGGAGGACAGTGAGAGATCCTGGTACAGGAACCACACTTTGCCTTTGAAGAAATCTCCTTGGCTCTTTATTCAAAGGCAAAATGACCAGGACTGACTAGTACCCATCTGATAATAATTCAAACTATCCATTGACTTTCAGTGAATACACTCCTTTATAAAACATTATGGCCTTTACAATTGAGACTGATGAAATGTTTCATATTTCTACGGCAGTTAACCCTGAGAAATCACTTTATGAAGCAGATTATAGACTCACCACAAATTACCCTCCGAAAATAATAAGCTTTTACATGAACTTCAGTGTCAATTACACCTGGCATAGCAGGAAAAGGAATTAATTACTATCATTTAAAGTAGAGCAAAGACCACTGGTCAGTTGCATTATGTACCACTGCAACAACTAAGTATTATCGGTATCACAGCCCATTATACGATCTCCTTCCACTTGAGTACAGCAGTAGGGAATTTATTAACTTTACGGGGGATGTTCTTTGTGGGAATAACTCCACTGGCTTCAGTGGTGCTGCACAAACAGAGAAGTTGGACCTTTGAGTTTCAAAGAGATGTTACATGGGATTAGAACCTCAATGAGCACATGCCTTCCTATTTTTCTGCCATGTTACCCAAAAATTCAGGTTGCCTATCAATATATTACCCACCCCTTTCATTTATACTAAATAAAACCTAGAAATGATCAGAGGTTTTCTCACTTCAGGCACATGTTGGACAGAGTTTATGATTTCTGAGTACAGTAGTTGGAACATCTTTCCAAGTTACCAAGCTATGGCACTTTTCCATATGGCAGACATTTCCTCTTGTTTTAATACTCCCATTTTTGTTCTTTGCATTGATCTACCATGATAACTGCCATCCATATGATGGAGTACTTAAATAATAGAATCCGGCCAATGCTTATTCCATTAAATATTGCACTTTCCAGTTAAATTGCATTTATAGAGCCTAATACTCTGGCTTAGAAGCCTGTCATCTAAGTCACTTATCCAACTAATAAAAGACTGTAACCACCAACTTTGATCCTTGCAGCAACCTGCAATTAAACTTCTTTTTTAATTTGGAAAGGTTCCACTTGTTTTCTACCCTGCAGGCAATTTTTAATATAATGTGTCAACTCTGCTCCTTTTCCACAACTTTAGCATTAACCTCTGTGCTGGAACGTTGCCATGTTCTCTTCGAAAACGTAATTATTGGCTGTATGTGGCTGTGGAAGTACAAAAGATTCATGAAGAATTCTAGCAAATTAGTTATAGAAACAGAGCGTTCCTTTTCTGAGATGGTGAAAGATTGACCTAACAAAATTTGTGCATTTCCTAATTATCCTCCATAACCATACTCAGCAAAACGTCAATATCCAAGGACTTGTCTCTGATGTGAGAAAACTATAAGCCTGGTGCATCCCAAATGTGGATCCACTGTTTCACTGTGGAGATGGGCCTGAGTCCCTCAGACTGGATTTCAATCCAGATCCAACTTTCCCTGGTGTTCAGGAATGCTTAGATGTGAGGGGGTTAGTTTGCCCTGTTGTACAGAAAGGAGCAGTGATGTGCTGGTGAGGGTTGTGAGAGGTTCCCAAGAGGTCCTTATTAATCCATCGTTACATTTAAGAAAAGACTGCAATAACGCCTGTCTGTCATTTCAGGGTGCTGCCTAATTGTATGGTTCCTCGGCCTTAGCATAACATAAGGTGAATGTTATTTTTATCAGTGCCCGTAGTTAAAATATTGGCAGCAAGTCACTGGAAAAGAGAAGTGGGGACCCAGATTCTGAATATCGCTGAAGTTCAGGTGTGTTTAGATCCAGGGTTTTGGTCCAGGTTTATGTTTTCATTTGTCATTTATTCTTTCATTCTTTCTTTCACACTGTATGTTCTAAGGCCCTCTTGTTATGGGGCCTACATCTTGGGAGAGATTCAGGGCTGAAGGAAGCAGATCCAACATAGGGCAAATCATTAATGCAGTTGATCGCCTCGGCTGAGCTAGTAATAATGGAGCAGAAGCTGGCGGGTGGGGTGTGTGTGGGTGGGTGTGTGGGTGTTTGCACAAGTATAGGCGGCACTAAACTTGAGAGAGTTCTTACAACCTCCTTCAAAGCAAAAGCACTGAGTGTGGCACAGCTCTGGAAGCACTGTTCCCGTCACACTGCACCAAGGCTCTCTGTGCTTCTGGATTAATGTCTAGCTCACTTGCCATGATAAAAACATTTTCGAACTCATGAGTAATACTGACTGGAGTCATTCTACTTACAAAGCCTGGCAGAAGCACCCCTGACTTCTGTAATCTAGCTGCACAACTGTCCCCCAAAAGTACTAGAATTGGGAGACTCTCGTTTATTTCTCTGCTCTGCCACAGACTTCGTGTGACCTTGGGAAATGCACTTACGGCCAGATTTTCAAAGGTATTTAGGTGCCTAAAGACTCAGATTGATGCCCACTGGGATTTTCACAAAGTGCATAAGTAGTTGGGCTCCTAACTTCCACTGATTTTACCATTTTGAATCCGAATCTATTGAAATCAATGGGAGTTGGAAGCCTAATCTGTTTAGCCACTTTTGAAAATCCCACTAGGTGTCTGCCTGCATCTTCAGGCACCAACACTTTGAAAATCTGGCCCTTAGTCATTTTGTGCCTCAGTTCCCCATCTATAAAATAGGTGCTCCCCTACCTCACGGGATAAATACATGATAAATACATCTTTATTAATGATCTGGAGGATGGTGTGGACTGCACTCTCAGCAAGTTTGCAGATGACACTAAACTGGGAGGCGTGGTAGATACACTGGAGGGTAGGGATCGGATTCAGAGGGACCTAGACAAATTAGAGGATTGGGCCAAAAAAAACCTGATGAGGTTCAACAAGGACAAGTGCAGAGTCCTGCACTTAGGACAGAAGAATCCTATGCACTGCTACAGACTAGGGACCGAATGGCTAGGTAGCAGTTCTGCAGAAAAGGACCTAGGGGTCACAGTGGATGAGAAGCTGGATGAGAGTCAACAGTGTGCTCTTGTTGCCAAGAAGGCTAACGGCATTTTGGGCTGTATAAGTATCCAGCAGATGGAGGAACGTGATTGTTCCCCTTTATTCGACATTGGTGAGGCCTCATCTGGAGTACTGTGTCCAGTTTTGGGCCCCACACTACAAGAAGGATGTGGAAAAATTGGAAAGAGTCCAGCGGAGGGCAACAAAAATGATTAGGGGTCTGGAGCACATGACTTACGAGGAGAGGCTGAGGAAACTGGGATTGTTTAGTCTCCAGAAGAGAAGAATGAGGGGGGATTTGATAGCTGCTTTCAACTACCTGAAGGGGGGTTCCAAAGAGGATGGAGCTCGGCTGTTCTCAGTGGTGGCAGATGACAGAACAAGGAGCAATGTTCTCAAGTTGCAGTGGGGGAGGTCTAGGTTGGATATTAGGAAATGCTATTTCACTAGGAGGGTGGTGAAGCACTGCAATGCGTTACCCAGGGAGGTGGTGGAATCTCCTTCCTTGGAGGTTTTTAAGGCCCGGCTTGACAAAGCCCTGGCTGGGATGATTTAGTTGGGAATTTGAGCAGGAGGTTGGACTAGATGACCTCCTGAGGTCCCTTCCAACCCTGATATTCTATGATTCTATGAGAAATCTGATGCGCTCAGATACTATGATACTATAGGATGGTATTTTAAAGTTTTAATTATACTCTAGTTAAGATCCAACTCTGGTTTATGTCTTTGATACATGGGTTGAAACACAAGTTCTTTCCTGTCAGTAGCTGAAAGTGTTAAAAGAAGCAATGTAGAGACTATTTAAAGAAGAGTTTTAATCAATATCTAAAGTAAAACACAATAATACTCTGACTTTCTATATTGCCTTTGATCAGTGATCTGAATATGCTTCACCGACAGTAACTAACAAAGTCCAAGATCCCCACCCCTGTGAGGGAGTAGGTGTTTTGTCCTTCTTACAGATGGGCAAACTAAAGAACAGAGAAATCTAGTGATTTATTCAAATATACATGGTGAGTCATGGCCTGAAGCAGAATCTGAAACCTAGAGAGAGCTGGTTTCCTGTCTTTTGCTGTAA